TTTTTTTTTTGATGAATTTTCAGCATAATTATTCCAGTCTTCAGTGTCACATGATTCTTCAGAAATCATTAAAATATGCTGATTTGCTGCTCAAGCAACACTTCTTTTTATTATCAATGTTGAATATGTTTTTGTTGCTTACTTTTTTTTTTTTTTTTAATTGATACATTTTCAGGATTTATTTATGTGAATCCTGAAAATTAATTAATATTACTCTGTACTTATTTGTGTAATTACACTGTAACAAGGACACATTAAAATAAAGTTTAACCCCATTCTGCAATATGGGTTATTGCTTTTGTATTGCTGTATTGTATTAATACAAACTATTATGAAATAGGTGAAAATATTAGAATATATGTTAATTGAAATAGGTGAAAAAAAAATAGAAATAGAAATTTTGCCTTGGCAAATAATGGAAATAGGTTTAAGTTAAAAAATAATAATAAAAATACTGAAAATAAACTGGAAAATGTAAGTAAGTAAATAAATAAAATAAAATAAAACTAATACTAAAATAAACTAAATGCCTATAATAGAATATAAATGGCATTCAGGGTAAATTGTTTAGGTATGTTTGTGCCGTTATGGCAATGCTAAAACAACACAACATCCTGCGATAACAACAATATCAGCATGGTGGGATTCATTCTTAGTGAACAGTGTAATGTGCAGTACCTCTTTGATGAGCGCCATGAAGCGGTTGCCAAAGCGCCAGGGCTTGTGGCGGTTACATTGGAGTGAACTGACAGTGATTTGAGGAGACTGCTGTACGGCCACGGCCACCACATGTACCGCGTCATACATCAGGGCAGCATCTGTCTGAAAAAAACACACACACACACACACACATTCACAGGTCAATCGGCCGTCAGCAGTGCACCTGAGGCTCTCTGACGATAATTAATCAAGCCTCAAAAACAGGTTAAACTCCAGTGTCATGAGCTGTGATTGGTGTATATTCAACTCAACGACCAATCACAGAGAATGAGAAAGTGTCAGAGTAGCCTTCAGCTGACTGCCACCCAAACTGACAGCCCTCCATACCGGAGACCTCTCATTCCACAGACCAAAATAAAATCTAATTAGTGTTTGCCTTGGATGATTGAGAAGCAATCACAACACCTCCCAGACTGGGCCGGTATGGAAATCATGCCTGAGGGGGGCTTCAGAATTGCTATCCTGTCAAATAAATCATTGCCAAACCTGTCATTTTCCAGCTTTTGTCTCTGATTGTCTGCCGCAAGTTTGTGGCTAAAGATGGCTCTGCCCTAATAATACTGCAACTTCACGCAAGCCTATTTGTATGTTTGCAGCAAAATAAACCATAGCCGAAGATTACAGACAGACTGCAATAAGACCAAGAAGACCAATCTATGGTGTTAAAAGAGTAGCTAAACCCGTGAGCTTGTACATTTGAATTTGGGAACTTTTACAATAAATATCTGTTGTGCTGCTAATTTCATTGGTCAGGTATGGACCAATAAAAACTTGGTCCTGCTCTCTTGCATCTGCATTTAGAAATAGACAAGTGAGGACTGCAACATTAATATCGCAAAAGACGTAGCACAGTCAAGTTGTAGATTTGAGAGGTTGTAAGTGTCGACTTTCGAAGCTGAAGTGCAAAAGTAAAAATGTAATACACATTTGTGTCTGTATTTTGTGTTTATGTGAATGTCATTTTCAGTGTTGGGGGTAATATATTACAAGTAACGCAAGTTACGTAATCAGATTACTTTTTTTCAAGTAACTAGTAAAGTAATGCATTACTTTTTAATTTACAAGAGAATATCTGAGTTACTTTTTCAAATAAGTAACGCAAGTTACTTATTTGAAAAAGTAACTCAGATATTCTCTTGTAAATTAAAAAGTAATGCG